TCTCTATAAAAGAAACAGTCCATTTAAAAAAAGGTTGGCAGCATATTTTGTGGTGTATTTTTGGAAGATGTTGCTGTTAAATGTCATTTTTAAATGATGAGAGGAACACAAACAAAAGCCCACTTACTTCCCTTGCAGAGTAGGTCAGTGCGATGATGCATATCCTGAGTTGATATAAATTTGTCAACTGTATTTATAGTAATATTGGATTTTTATGATTTTTTTTTTTATATCTTTGGTTATAGTACCATGTTTGGTATCAGTAGCTAGAAACAGACATTTGTATCTGGTACTTCGATTTAACCATCAATAACTTTTCAACCGTGTATCAATATTGCCACCTCCACTCAAATCCTGGACAAATAAACCAAAACTTTTTGCAAAGATAGATTTTCATCGTTTTGGATCCTTAAAGAAAAAAAAAAAAAAAAACAGCACCGACCTTTGCTGCTCTAAGAATATCATGATAAAAATTTAATTTTCCTTCTAACAAGAAGTTATGCAAAGATACCTTCTATGATCTCGGGTTAAATAACCAAGCTCGTTTCTGAATTCTCAAAATAAAAGCACGAGGAAGATTTAATCATGAAAGTGATAGTTTCACAATGAAGCTGCCCAGCTGTCATGTGTGATAAATCAGTTGTGCTCCAAGTAATTTGTGTGTTGCATAAATCAAATCCGAGCACGGCAAACTTTTTGTCCCACATTTAGGACGCATTAATAACAATTAATCAAATCTGCAGTAATCTGCAATTTCACATACCTAATGGGTTTTATTAATGTGGAGGTATGTCATAGAGTAAATTCATTTTGGGTTGATGATGATAGATGGACGGTGGATGTAATAACTTTCAGTAAATTAGTTGAGTAGATGTGGACAGATGGGCTGATACAGTCGATATCAGGGGTGAAAAGAGTAACAGTCGACTTTTAGAGAGAGAGCAGAGGCTCATGGGAAGAGACTCAAACTCAGCCAACTACCCCCAATCTGGAATCTGATGTGAACAAATATGTCTTTGTTTGCCACCCTGTGTGTGTGTGTCTGTCACTGGCTGTGTGTGACCATGTGTCATACCCTGTCTGTACTAGGCCCGTGTGTGTGTGTGTAAGTATAGAATATGTGTACATACTATTGTCCTCTCAGGACTGACTGCTGGTCCTCAGGGAGAGTTGTAGCTCTCTACAAACACAATCTAAAAAACACTTCATCTCTTTTTTTCTTGCATTAATTTCGCCTCCTTTGATATTTCAACAGGCTCCACACCATGGCTGTAATTATCACAGCTATCAGACTATCTAAACTCTTAACCACCAAGGCCGAAGGCAACCGCACAAAGGCTCACCACATATTTTATATGACTCTATAAAACATCACAAAGCTGCCTTTGACCATATGCAAAGCAGCTCCGTTGGCCTGCCCGCAAGTAGGTGTCATGATCCAGCACTTTAAACAATTACTGTCACTTTCAATGCTCCAATGAGTCAGCTTTTTGTCTTTTTCTACTTTCCTGAGTAATCTTTCTTTTGCTATTGTAAATATTTGACTTGGATCCTGAGTGAGTTATCTGTTACACAGTGATCAGATGTTGGATTCGTTGGATGTTACTTTAACCAAATTTACCTAGTTTCCCTTGAGATGAGATTTTATAAAAATGCTCTTTTACAAACGTCTAATTATCTGTAAATAAAATGAAGACGTTTGATATGATTAACAAATTTACACATGTAAGTTATTTTTAATAAACCATTCATTCTTCAGACTCTTTTCTATTCTTGTTCTTGCACATGTCCTCTGCCAGCAGGACTTCATTTCTCAAGTACAGTGAGCATTAAGGGCTTTGCAAAGACATTTGTTTGGACTTGTATTGCACACATTGTGGTCCCTCCAGTGACTCAGCAGACAGTTGGTTCCTTTAGCTGTTTCCTGGCTTGACGTCAGAGACAAAACTGATTTGCATTTGAAAGAAGAAGGTGAACAGAGACAAAAAAGCACTGTGCAAAGTTTTTAGGCCTCTCTTGAGTATTTTGTCCACAACTGATGTGGTGAAAAAGCTTTTCAGACCCAAATGGGGGACCTTAGAAAAACCTCTGACATGGATGGACACAGGCTACAACAACTACGGAGTTACTCTGGGATTATTTGAGGGTTCAGTATAAATCTGTAGTCTCTACAACCTTATAAATGTAGCTATTGGTGTTGAAGTTGAGCCCTCTGACATACATTTCTTTGGTGTTGCAAGATCCTTTCATTAAGAGACAAAATAATAAGGTTAGATTCTGGACCCATTAATGTGAGTCTGATGAATCTCTTCTAGACCAAAATATCTCAACAACAATTGGATGGATCGCCACAAAATGATGTACATATATTTTAACATATATTCATCCAGCTTCACCAGCAGTTCAATTTTTTTTTACCTTGATTACTAGCAAGAAAAAATGTTCAAATCACTCAGGTAGTTATTATGCTCAATCACTTATGCTGACCAAAAGCTGGAAATTGTCTCCCACCTAAAGAAACAATTTAATAAAGTGATTCAAAAGGTTCAAAAGGTGCGAGATTGTTAGCAGTGTGTGACTCATTAAATCTCCACTGTAAAAGCATTTCCTATCAAACACAGAATTTTTACAGTTTTAAATCTACAGTATTTGTGCTTCAGCAGTAAGAAAAGAAACCACAGTTGTGGACATGAATAGCCACGCCACCTATATTTTGCCCACAACTCGCTATGAATGGTCACATGCATGTTGAATGTTTGTTCAAAATCCTGTGTCACACACCAGGTTTGTGTGTGAAGGTGGAATCAGCCTGCTGATAAAAGTACTTGGAATCACCATTAGGCACACCCTTCTTCCCACAGCCGTCCAGAACTCGTAACATGGGTGTTATCCACTATATAAAAGAAATGTACATCAGGCATAAATTAGTTAAACAGACATTGAGCTTTCAAATACATTTTCACCCACTTTACAGTATCCATTCCTGTGCTTTTATTTTTCAAACCCTTCAGTGTAAAAGATGCTTGATTTTGTGCCTACAAAATAATGGGTTCACTATTTTTTTCTCACTCTGACAACTTAAGTATCCTCCTCTCCCATCTCTTAAATGTGTGATTAGAATATATTTAAATGAGTGCATGAGCCAGGAGTGAATCTCACAGAGGACACTTTCTGACAATTCAATTTGATCACAGACAGATTTTTTTTTTTTTTTTTCTTCGTCTATGACAGGAAAATGTGTGCAAGGCTGGAAACATTTGTAGCAGGCAGCCTCTCAACACCTGACTGCCATTGTGTATTCACTGTCAGACTCACAGCACTCCTTCAGACGCTCTGTGCACACAGCGGACATGTGTGAAAGTGTGTGAGTGGGTTTTGAAAATGATTGCCACGTCTGCACGTTTGTGTTTTTCTATGCCATGAGAAGTGCAGTTGTATCTTTAAATGCTTTTATGACTGTTTCAAGGCGATTTGGTGCAGTCAAGCATCAATGATAACTTGTGTCTTACTGCAGGCACATGACATCTTTCAAGCTGTGTGGGAGGCTGGGTGTGCTGTTTTATTCTCATCAAGTCAGACGTGAAACTCATTGATCTGTATCTATGATTCACCGCAGTGTGAAATGTCAAAACACCCTCAGCTGCAGCTACAACATTCAGTTTTAAATGATTTCATATACCCTCACTGATAAGTTTTCTGCTCTAACTTGTACTTCCTGACTTTGTGGCACCTTTTATTTGCTGCTGACATGTACAGACATTATATGCTAGTGCTACAGACAGTACATTCAGCTCCCCACTGATCACACCAAGGATGAAAACTCAGGAACTCTCAATTCCTCTGTGATTTTACACTTTCACTTAAGCATCTTTGCTAATGATTCTACCAGATAATACTTCTCTTGATGTTTCCCTTAGCAACAATTAACAGCAGATCTGCCTGCTTCTTGCTAGCTTACAATATATTTATAATTAACATTAAATTGCTACATGCAACTTTTGCATATTCACAAGTTGTCCATGAACTTAACTATAAGGTTTCAGGTGTATTTCCTTTAATGTACAAGTATCTTGGACATTTTTAAACATTAATTAGACCAATAAAGGAGGACATGTTCAGAAAAAAAAAAATTTCAATTCAAGTAAGGGTTGGACATTTTGGTCAATTGTTCATTGGAGTTAGCTGAGAAGATTGATACCACTCTCACATCTGTGCGTTAATTGGCTCGAGCCAGGAGACGGTTAGCCTAGCTTTCACATAACTAACAGTTCTCCTCAAATCTCAGCTTAAAGTGTATATACGAGTAATTCAAATGTTTTAACTTTGCACGCAGCAACCTTTTGCTGCTACTTCGCAGATTTAAATTGCAGTACATGTTGGTGGATAAGCATGACACTTAACTGCAGTAACATCAAAGGTTAATTATTTATCAAAAACAGGGAGGATGTATGAGCTACACAAGAGTCACAATGTTTTTAGGTGATGCCAAGACCGCACACACAAACACAGTACTGCAAGATAAATGCTTTGAGGTGTTCGGTTGTCAGCCATACTTCATGTTAATTCTACTGGTGTTCTGGCAATTCTTTTGGTGGGTTTGTTTGCTATGGCTTTTTATTTTCTGCGGGGCACTTTAGTTCTAAGCTGCCAAAGGAGGAGAGCCGGAAACTGAACACACACACATAAATGCACACGCAGGTGGAAGTGGTGCCTTTCTCTTTTCAAAGTCCCTAAAAGGAAGAAAGGAGAATGAAAAGAAAGTGTGTGTGTGTGCGTGTGTGTGTGATCCAAAGCCAGACTTTTAGGCAAAGCCAACTTTCTGCGGCTCCCTCTGTCAAAACCACACATGGACATATACAGACAAGCAGTCATGTGTGTCTCCCCCAGAGTTTTTTTTTTTTTTTTGCAAAAAACACTAATTTTAAAATGTTGTAAACCAAAAAAATACATACATATTGTGATAACTATGAACAGCCTAAATTCTTTGTCCTCTTTTTCAGTTTATAATAGAAGACATGAAGCAGCAGCAAACCAACAAACACAGCAACCTGCACCGTGAAGACCAGCACATCACTGTGGAGGAGCTGTGGAAGGGCTGGAAGACCTCCGAAGGTAAAGCAAAGAAGTTAACTGTCTCTGCACTAAGGTCACCAAAAAACACATAACCCCCTTCATTTACTGCCTTGTGCAAAGGAGGAAGGGGGAGAGAAAAGCTCACTGAAGCAAGAGGAGGGAGAATAGTACAGGTGGTGACAGAGGAGGATCATTTTATTTTGTTAAATATCTGTTGTAAAGCAGAGGCAGCCTTTAACTATATAAATACCCGAAATCCGCCAGGTGCAGTCGGCAGGTGAGACATCCTCTTCACTCATGGTGTACTCCTGTAGCGCTTTAGCAAACCCTAGTCGAGTATCCCCAGAGAGAATCCTCATCACCACCTTGAGTGACTTTCCAGTTCTCTGAAAACTCAAGCGGACTTCTGCAAGCTCGACGCTTCAAGGGCTGAAGGAGAGACTAAACAATGACGTACACTTCAGGGTGTGTTTACCCAGAACTGTGACCTCTTATTTTCTCTGCACATCGTGATATAAAAGTCTGAGTGAGCCGACACTCATTAATGTTTAAGGATGTATTTAGTCACGGAGTCCATTTGCAATTCTGAGCAGTTTTAATCATGATTTACTGGTATTATTTTAATTATTAATCTGCTCAAGGGCAAATGTTTTTTCTTTTTTCATTTTGATCACACTAACTTTTCCTGTAGATGAATTTCTCCTACTACTTCTCTTATTTGAATTTCACATGAGGACAAAATCTGACACAAAGTCACATGTGTGGTTTGTCTTCAAATAGAGCCCCCCCACCCCACCCCACCCCTCCAAATCTGTTACTGTCAGCCTGTATGCAGCAGTGTTTGTTTATCACTCTGGAAATATGTGTGGAGCTAAGCGATTTTGGAACAAGTTTTAAACATGCTCTCATGCTCCCTTAGTATTTGAAATAAACACTCACACAGCAGAAAATTAACTTCCTACTTTCTGGTTGAGGTGCAGGCTGCAGGACCACAGCTGTAAATACTGTATATTATATATTTTTAATCAGGTTTCTTTGATCTTTACACTCATTTCCTGTTTGTAGTAAGTACAAAAATGTATACTCAGGCGTGGAATGTAACTGAGTATATTTATTCAAACAACTACACTTAAGTACAAATCTGGTTTTCACTCCTCTACTTTTATTTAAAATCGTTCGTCACTTCTCAGATTAAGATGTTTCTCAGTGAAAGGCTCAAAGACGGAAAAACTCAAAAAGTCTAAAAGGAAAAAACTAATCAAAGAAAAAAAAAACAAAGAAAAAAAAACAAATGTAGATATGTGTAGCAGAACTTTCCAACCCCTAGTTTGGGAACCACTGGATAAAACTAACTGCAGTCAGTGCAGTTAGTGCAAGAACTCCACCCAGACCAGCTGCAAAAGGAAAATGATGCATCAGTATTAACAATTTAAAAATAATATATATAATATATACAATATCAGATAAGAGCCATTTTTCAGCAGAATGAGTAAAGACTGATTTGAATGAAGGACTTTTACTTGTTACTATTACTGAACTAAAGGATCTTAACTCTCCTTCCACCTCTGTTTATTCTTAACCTTTGTTTCTCTGTGAGTTGCTCTTGATCAAAAGCAACATCTCAATGCTTAAACATATATGAATGACTCACCTGCTCTCACTCCCTCCCTCAGTCCACAACTGGACCATGGAGGACACGGTGCAGTGGCTGAAGGAGTCGGTGGAGCTGCCGCAGTACGAGAAGAACTTCCGGGACTTCCGGGTCACGGGGAACACCTTACCTCGGTTAGTGCGGCTCGCCTTATTGCCCCCGCAGGAACAGCGCTACACAGCCTGCATCAGTGATACTGATGACAAGACTTAAGCAATGAATTGTTGCTGTTCTGCACCTTCAGTACAAGCGCTAAATGTCAATTCTTTATCCTCTAATTAAGATGTTCTTGTTTTTGCTTTGCCGCTGGTGACCAGTGAAGAGTGTTTATGAGCAGTAGCAATATAATGATCTTTGTTACAATACCCACAGGCACCCTCAGTTTTCTTTGCTCTGTTTAATGCTGCCCACTGCTGGTTGTAATAGGCAGCACACAGGGGGAACATGACTTGTCTCAAACTGGTAGATGTTGTATTAGAAAAGATTTCTCTCGGGGCCTGTAGACATTTTCTTTTTTGGAGGCCACTTTTTGTTACATGATCTTAAATGCAGCCAACATTACAACCATGCACCATGCTTTTTGAATTCAGAGCGATGTGGTTGACTTTGGACAGTTTAGTCTTTTCGTAGCACTCTAAATATTCCCAGAATTCCTTCGTACAGAACGATGAGGATCAAATTGTTGATGACGTAATCTGAGAGCTGACATTACAGGAGGAACCCAGACGTTAGTGGGACACTTGTGGAATGTGACTTTCTGCAAACTGCATGTACGGCATGAGTAGCCCACAGGGGCTATTGAGGGGGGTCTCATATTACGCCACAGGGCTGATGGGCGCTGACTCATTAAGTGATGTCACAGCGAAGGAGCACAATTTCCACAGGCTGCCATGTTGTCTGAGCCGTTTCGAGAAGATGGCGATGGCGTGCGGACACCCCTCGTGGGACAGTGGTCAACCTAGGGAGAGAACACATGAGAATTATCTAGTGTCTGAGTGATATTCATACATGCAGGCCGGAGTGTGCACCTGTGTGAGCACTTCCTACCCACAGGCACACAATCATACCTGTAGTTCTTAGTAGGATTTGAGTGATGTGAGGCTTTTAAGATCAATACTGCTATTTTTAGCCTGAGGCCAGAGGCAGCCAAGATTCAATCATCCACCAGGTTTCTCTCAGAATTTAATTTCTGTCAGTTTTGACACCTTTGGAGCTGGAGCCGCATCTAAATCGTCATGGGGGGGATATTTACCAATTCATCAAGATTTGCAACTGTCAAATTATTTACTTAAGGACTTGGGAATGCTGAGGGAGAAATGGTTGACTGTTAACTTACAGTTCAGACAATGTAAACACTTTGAGCTCTCCATTCAGTATCATACTTATTACTACAATACTATATCTGTTTGTTGTGACTTTTACACTCTTACATTATTTTTACAGTTTTTTTTATTTACTGAGTCCTGCATTATTTTTTATATATTTATAGCAATAATGTAGTCAAAGGAGCTTCAAAGTTTTACCAAAATCTCCTACATCTTAATTTATTCACAGATCTTTTTGTGGAGCTGACATCATCAGGGTATTTAACCAGTTTTTTAAAATTGGATATATTGGTTCTATTATGACTGGAGGGAATGCCTTAATGTTTTATTCATTCTGTAATATTGAACACCATTGCCAATGTAATGTCATTATATATATATATATCTACACACATTATATACATATATATGATATTAGCAACATTTTTAAATGCAAAGCTGTCTTTTAATTGGAGGACCAAGAAATTCAATTTTGTTTGTGCACACACAGACAATTATAATGCCCACTGAACATAGAAATAATTTAAATCTGACCGTGTAGAAAGCTGCACTAAATGCTCTTTTTCTCTCTTTTCATATTTCAGAATGGCAGCAAATGAACCGTCATTTATGTCGATGCAGCTGAAGATATTAGACCAGCGGCATAAACAAAAACTAAACCTAAAGGCGCTGGATGCAGTGCTGTTTGGTCCTCCTCTCCGTAAGTATGAACCGCATACAAACTCCATCACTATTCATAAAAGTCAAATACCAACACTCTTAATTTTGGTCACCAGAAAAATTAAATAAAATGTATTTAAATACAAAAAAGTACTTTTAAATGTTGTCCTGTTCCGCCTTTCTCCCTCTGCAGGTCCACAACATAATTGGATGAAAGACTTCGTCCTAATGGTTTCCATAGTGATCGGTGTTGGGGGCTGCTGGTTTGCCTATGTGCAAAACAAGTCCAGCAAGGTGCACATTTCTCAGATGATGAAGGACCTGGAGAGCCTGCAGAACGCGGAGCAAAGCCTCTTAGACCTGCAGAGCCGGTAAGACAACAAAATAAATCAGATTTAGGTTCAAATCAGATTTAGAGTCAGATGTAGATTCAAATGTGAAAATGCATCAACTTGTCTATTTCCTGTCACCTCCCAGGCTGGAAAAAGCTCAGGAGGAGAACCGGACGGTGGCGGTGGAAAAGCAAAACCTCGAGCAAAAAATGAGGGATGAAATCAACGGGGCCAAAAAGGAGGCTCACAGGCTTCGAGAGCTGCGAGAGGGAGCTGAATGTGAGCTGAGCCGCCTCAAATACGCCGAGGAGGAGCTAGTGCAGGTAGGACTTCCTGGACTGCCCCTTGCAAAACAGATTTTAACACAGCAAACAGTAAATGCATCTCATTTGAAATTTAAAGACCAGCTATTTGATCAGTGATCTCCTGAACAAAGTTTTTAAAAGCATTTGACAATGAACTTACCCCGACCCTGGACCCTGATGTGTCGCGTGCCTCCCGTGCAGGTGCGTAAGGCTCTGAAGCGAGCGGAGAAGGAGATGCAGTCGGAGCGCTCGGTGCCTGAAGCTCTTCAGAAGTGGCTCCAGCTCACACACGAGGTGGAGGTTCAATACTACAACATCAAGAAACAGAACGCAGAGTTTCAGCTGTGCGTCGCCAAAGACGAGGTAACTATCTCTTCTTTTGACCGTGGGTCTTTAAGACGTTGCCTTGAAGACTCGCAGTGACAGAGCATTAAATGAGCAGGTACAAGGTGTTTGAAAGGATTCAGAAACTGTTGTGTAAATGCCAGCAGTGTTTGAAAAGCATACATTTGAATTTACCTTGCTCATATTGAGCCACTGATTTGGATTTGTTAAATGCTAACTGAAACTGCCTGGAACTGCTTGGAAAACATTAACTTTTAAAAATGTTCTAATATTTATATTCTTAAATAATTTAACAAATGTTGCAGCCATTCCCAGTTCAGCGTCAAGTTTTCTTACTTCAGATTTGACATTAACATCCATTGCAAGAGTCTTTAACTTTCTGCCCTGGGCGTTGACTGGCAGGAGATGACCAAACCTGCCAAAATCAGACCTTACTCCAGTTTTTCACCTTGCTAGTAACAAGCTACGCTACACGGAGCTGTGACTTGGAGCTCATGCATGGGAGTGTATGAGCGCTCAAGTCTTTCATGTTTACTGCTGCCACCAAGCTGCTGGTGCCGGGCTGCAGATAAAGCTCAGTGCATCAGTCTGCTCTCTCGTCGACAGCCAGTATTGTTTAAAAGCAGCGTGGTGCAGCCTGGCAGGGCCTAGAGTAGTGGTAGAACTGATGTAAAATATCACACACATAATCACTACTGTAATCTTCTGGCTGGTGAACTGATGAGTGAGGTGAATCCACTCTTAGCAGGAAATGGCAGCCTTCCAGTCGATCCTTGCAAACCAAACTACTGTTGCATAGCAGAAAATTCTGAATAGAAATGATTAATTAAAATTCAAGTCATGAAATATTTTATGTGTGTGTTTTTTTTTTTAATTTCAGGCAGAGAAAATAAAAAAGAAGAGAAGTTCTGTGTTTGGAACTCTTCACGTAGCCCACAGTTCATCACTGGATGAGGTGGACCACAAGATACTAGAAGCAAAGTGAGACCACCACCACACACACACACACACACACACACACACACACACACACACACACACACACACACACACGCACAGAGATGTGATGCAACAGTAACTACATGTTAAAAAAATGCATGAGCAACTAAATCTATGACTACAAGAGAATTCATTATCCTTGACCTGTGCGTTTGTCAGCCACATCTGTTTTAGCCGCCACTATTGATTTGCATTAATGTGCTGAATATGACAAGAAAAGGTCCTTGTGTCATATTAAAAAGCAGGTCAATAATGTATGACTGCAGATTGTATGCACATACATATTTACACTGTTCTACAGCATCTGCTAAAGAGTGAGTGAAGCTTTTGGTGCCATTTCACAGCAACTAAAAAAAATCAGCCTTTCATTCATCTCTTTATCTTTAGTCAGTTTGCTTTGTTTGCTCAGGGATTAAATTCTTTGAAAATATCCAGTGACAATATCTGCCTGTACAGTGTCAAGTTCCTGCACAGATTTAAGCACATAATGCTATTATGTAAAACTTTAACATCAGGTATCGCTGCTGAGGGAAAGAATATCTTTGTGTTTAAAAGCCATACAGGAAGCAAATCAGACGGAAGAGAGAGCAAAGCAAAATCTTCTTTATGACCACTTTATCAGGCACAAGGCTCACATCAAACCAGTCGGCTCACGTGCCAAAACTGATCAAATCCTCATGAATCACAGCAAAGACAGCTTATTACTGGGTCTGCCACATCAGACATCACTATGATCTCCGATAAATGTGTAACATTAACCTGTGTTTTTCAGGAAAGCCCTGTCAGAGGTGACGGCGTGCCTGAGGGAGCGGCTCCACCGCTGGCAGCAGATCGAGAAGCTTTGCGGCTTCCCTGTTGTCAACAACTCTGGGCTACCGAGCCTGACGGCCAGCCTCTACTCCGACCACAGCTGGGTGGTCATGCCGCGAGTGTCGGTGCCTCCCTACCCCATCGCAGGAGGAGTGGATGACCTGGACGAGGATACGCCTCCCATCATTCCCCAGTTCACGAGTAAGTGAGCCGGTTGAGGGTTTTGATAACTCTCTATTGCAGAAACATGCAGTGAGATTAATTTTAATGTGGTTTTCTCTCTGGTTCTTCATCATTTGCTGTTTCATCTTTCCCCCCAGCGGCTACGATGATCCGGCCTTCGCTGACACGCAGCAGCAGCCTGTGTCGTTCCCGCCGGAGCCTGCTGAGCTCCCCACAGTCCTCGCTGATGTCCCCAGACCCCGACCTGCTGTCCATGGCCAGCTCGTCCCTCTCCTATCACCCCGAGGCAGATGACGAACATATCATGTTCAGCTCGGATAGGAGGGGGTATGTAGCGGTGGCCGGAACACCGCGGAATGGTTTTACAGTTTGGACTCACAGGTGTTTTATGCAGACATTCATACTGATGCTTTAATCTTGGGGTTAAATGGTAACCTTTTCTCATTGGGTGTCTTCTAGTATGTGGAGGATGCATGAATTACCTCTACATGATACACCATAATTAGTTCATACCTAACATAATTAATTAACAAGCAGGATCTTATCTTCACTTAAACCTGCACTTTATTCTCAATTGTCTTCACTAATGTGTTAGGAAAGACTAAACCCCAAGGAAACTGAAAGGTCAGGTTGAATGCAGTAACCAACTAAACATTTGATGCGACAATACTGTGGTAAAGGTTTGGTTAGGTTTAGGGAAAGATCATTGTTTGGATTAAAATGATCTGCAATGATCTGTTAAGGTTAGAGGACCTTTGTTGTCGTGGTTACAATAATAAACACATGGTTGGGTTTATAGTAATAAATTAATGATTGTACTTAAAAGACACAATGTTGACTGGCATTTGCTCAAAAGACTGATTCTCTCTCACACGGCCACTAGATGTCACTGTTTTACAAAGAATTGTGTCCATTCCAGCCGAGTGAGACAGTTTGTGTTGAGGAATTAACTACATTTTCCAAGCGTCAAAACAACAGAGAGAAAACTCCTTTCCTTTTCTTTCCTTTTTCAAACTTTTGCTCAAATGTTGTTGCCAGTGTCTCTGAGTCATGACCGTGTGTCTGCTCTCCTCTCTCAGGGAACCGGCTCAGGAGGGCAGCTCCGACACAGACTCTCTCAACTCTTCCTTGGGCCGCAAGCAGATGCACAACCCCTGCACGCCAGGATCGGAGACCCCCTACCGTAAGATCTCCCGCGAGGAGCTGCTGCTGTTCAGCCAAAGTTCGGATCTTTCCGCGTCCACCCCCACCACCACCCACACCAGCAGCAGCAGCAGCAGCAGTCTCAGGGACTCCAAGCCGCCTCCTCCTCTCCCTCCAACTCCGGCCACCACCCCCTCAGGCCCGCCCTCCACCTCGCCCTCCCCGGCCTTGGAGCACCACCCATTTGCACACAGAGGCTCACCCGACCTCACCCGCATCATCCCGGAGTCCCAAAGCGTAACCTTCTCGCAGGGGAACGTCACCTCTGCGACAGGAAAGGGCATGTACAACGGCATCCTGGAGAAGTCCTACAGCTTCGGTCAGCTGCCTGCGAGCATGCTGCCCAACGTGGGGCGTTACCCGTCTCTCACCTCCCTGGACTCGGAGGGCCGAAGTGTGGGAAGGGAACACAAGCTCCAGAGCACCTCCTCCCAGGACTCCAGCGACAATGGAGAGAAAATCAAGCGCTCCTCCTCTAAATTAAAAAGTCTATTTAAGAAGAAAAAATAAAACTTGCAAAGTGAGATAGTGAAAGAGAGAGAGAAATAAAATAAAAGGAGTTGTTTTAGCCGTAATACTAAAAAAAAAAGGACATCACTGTAAGCTAAAACATTTCATTTTCTCTCTTATTTTCCTCTTTTTGTTGTTAAAGATGGAATGTAGCTCAGTCTGGGTGCCTTTAAAAGCTCCAGACTGGTAGCCTTATTTTTCAATAATGCCTTTTTATTTAGTTCACTCATAGCCTCACAAGGAAAACCTGCAAAGGTCAAGGAAAGGTCAATCAAAGGTCATGATAGTTGTCATCCGGACAGCCAACAACACATGACCTGTTCGCTGTCTTCTGTTAAAGTTACTTTGCGTTCAAACCAAAAAGCCGCTATGGTTAAGGGCCTAAAGGTGCAGTCCATGAATTTATTTCCAAGCACACAATGTCTTGTGTTTCACTGTTGATGTCCAGTGCAGAATGACATTTGCTGTTCCCACTGAAAATATTTAAATCTCCCTTTCAATAGTGACAGCAACACTTGAAAAAAAAAAAAAAAAAAAAACACCCAGAAAAATAAAGGTTATGATTTCTGATAACACATTTTTTGACAGTTTCTTTGTCAAGTGTCCGAACTACTTCTCCCCTGTTCTAATTCTGAATTGCATCTTGTGAAGTGTTTGAGTCCTAAACTCATGTACTTGATTAATTTCCTTTGAGAAAAAAAAAAAAAAAAAAAAAAAAAAATCCTGCTAAAAGTTTGTTGCACTAATGCTTTCCTGGTATTTTGGGAAAGAGCCGCTGCTTGCGGAGTACATATTGAATAAAGATATAGAGATGAGAGGAACACATGGGCAGCGTCAGTGAAAATGCAGCACATAATGCAAGAGCCAAAATTATCTGATGCGTCTTCAATGTCACTGTTTATGCACATCTCAAAATATATACATATATATATATATATTATATATACTTTGTTTTAGCATTATTATGTTCTGATAGATGTTTTTAAATACATTTTGATTGGTGGGGGTCCCTATAAACTGATCTTTACTGAAGAGAGTTTATTGAATATGCAGATTTAACCCACACCAGTCATTTTCCCTGTAATCTAGCTCTCCCTTATTACTTGATTAACTGCATTCTGTAGCCATACAACATACCATTTCCATTTTGTTTTGTCTTAAACCCTTTGTCCCTTTCTAAAACTTGGTGTCACTACCAGATTTTGGTCAAATTGTGTGCAATTAATTCTTTTTGTGGGTGGAGTGCCATGACTCTGAGGATTCATGAACGCCAGGGAGTCTAAGACAGTTGCAGGGATGTCTCCACTCTACTGCGATGTCTGTGGCCTCTACCATGTTTGTTCCCAAGCTTTTTAAAGACGAACACTAAGGATTATCTGTTCAACAAAATGAACTTTTTTGATTGACTTTTTGACCAGATCTGATTGATACACCAAGACTTGCCACCCCTCCCACCACCAACACCAACACCAACACCACCACCACCACCACCACACACTAAGCTCGAAGCTGACCCATGCAATACGGTCCCGTTCCTCACCTCTGGGCCTGCACCGAGCGCACTGATGTCAAGAGCTCCTGCTTCACACTGTGATTTCTGCCTTCTTCCCTTCATCCTGGACCTGGCTGCTGTCACTGCTGCTGCTCAACACGACGGGTCATGTGGTTACATGACGGCCGTGTCAGCGGAGATGCGATGTCAGGGGGTGACGCCGTGCACGAGGTGTGTCTGGGTGACAGGACGACACGATGACGAGAGGATCCAGTGGCCTCTGTTTTTAAAGAAGAAAAAAAAAAATATATATATTTGGAAGGTCGTGGACAATACAGCACACAATGAAGGAAGTAGAAGACAGGACTGCAAGAGGAGGAGAAAATGAATGTTTACGAGACAGGGGCTTTTTTTTGAGAACATTTTCTGTGTGAATATTTGTATACTGTAGACGAATTAATAAAAAAATTGAGGCATCGGAGATGTTTCAGAGTCATGTTTGCTGCCATGATTCACACTTATTTTGGTTCATACACCTGAGAAAAGCTCATTTTGGATATTATTCCTGTTCATTATTTAATACCTAACAGCTCCGTGTAATTGTTACTGAGCCGGTGGACACATAAGCACTGATGCAATTTTAAAGGGGCAATCCACTGATTTTACACATCGACATTTGTCTTGTATTTTCTTCAGCGCTGCAGGGAAATTCCCCATTTCTGAAAAATAACCCTGATGATGTCATCCGGGTCATCTCGGCTAGCGCTGAAAAGAAGCCCTGTAATACAAAACTGGGGAGGTAAAGTTTGAAATATATGGATATGTTTGTGCCAAGCAGGGAGTGTTTAACAAAAGACGCTATTGAGTTGCATCATGGGAAGTGTAGGATCCTCTGTTTTTTGGGCTTGACCCATACTAAAAGTATGGATAAAAGTCAGATCATCTCAACTTCTGCTGCTTCAGTTCTGTCCATCTGGTTTAAAAGTCTGTGTCTTGCAAGTCAGAAAGAGCCGAAAGGATTAGCTGATTCCAGTTAATCTCTTATATTTAATAGCAAATCCTCACATTTGATGATAAGCTGAAACCGGCTAATTTGGGGTGTTTTTTCTTTTTCTTTACTTATCTAAAACGTTGCTGATAAAGTATCATTTGAATGACAAACTAATTGTAGACTTGTCTTTTGAAATGTGTCAATTTTTATGAAATTTTGAAACCAAGAAAGATGAATTGAATTTTGGGAATTATTTCACGCAATAAAACAGGAACAACAAATTCAGGCTGGTATTGTCCCTTCAAATTGTAATTCATTACAACCAAACTTTTGAAATACTGCCACAGTTTGAAATTAATCAATTAACACATTTTATAAGTATGTAACCCATTAGCAGTTCAGCTGAGCTCAAAGCGTCTCGTTTCCAGCAGAAGAACAGTTGTGACCCTCCGTTTGGAGCCCACATCCTCCTCGCAGCAGAGTGCAGAAGTGTGGGGAAAAACATCATTCTGACACCCCATTTGTCTTGAGAGTGGGGGAAACCGTGATACACAGAAGAAAAGCATGCATGATTGCTTTATCAATATAAAGTGAACGTGATGAAACTTGTGTTGATGGTTCATCAATTCGGCACAGTAGGAGAGGAGCGGGGACGTCTGCCGGTGATGAATGTGCTGTTTGGGCACTACTGTACACAGCAACAAATCCCAGCCTTTCACAGCAGCCCAACTTATTGCCCCCCCCCCTCCCCCCCTACCCCCGCTTCACAGCTGCAGTTACAGTGACGGCCACATGGTGTCAGCAGAGCATCAGAGGAAGCCAACCACAGCAGCCACTCCCTGACTGTGAGACCAACACAGTGTGAGTGGATGTTTGGTCAGCAATGAGAGACCAGAATCACATCACACTTGTTTTTACTGTCAAGTACACAGACATATTAGAAATCCAGAGCTGAAGGAATGTGTATTGTTCGATCAGCTAATCTGATCTTTTTTTTTTAACTTGTACAGTGTTGTATCTTACTTAGCAAGAGCTTTCAAGGACATTATATTATTTCCTCGCCCTAGCATGGAAAGCATACTGCATATAAACATTTAAACATCATTACTACGTCATTATATCTAAATCCAATGAAATTGTCAAATAGTGCAAGTAAGTAGTACGTTGCCATTCAAAATCTTCAAATTGAAAGTAAGTATCATACATACATTTTGCATGTTTGACAGGTGCTAACCTCTATTTATAGTATAATACACTGTATATAATGCTAAGATTAGACATATAGATTCTTTGGATCATCCATTACAGTCATGGAACCTAAAATCATCTCTCAAATATTAATGGCCAAGGTTTTAACAAGGTGTTAAAAAGCACATATAATTGTTCAAAAACTTTTGGCAATATTGTACAAGCAAAACCATGGCAACATCACATATATTTTTGGAATGAAGTATTCCAGAAACACACATAAGTGTAATGCTCCGTTATCATAACTTTAGGTACATAGTGAGATATCGCTAAAAGTATGTGGAAGTATATATTTATTAACGGAAAGGAAATATAATCTTACTATTAGATAGATAGATAGATAGATAGATAGATAGACTTAGTATACTGTACTTGCCAAACTAGCTTCACTTCAGTGACAGCTGTTCACTCTGCAACAAGCTCGCTCACTGATTCTAGAGCAGTACATTTAAAACTGCATTCAGCTGCTACTTTGTCCCATATTCTCTTCCTACTTTCTACTTCCCCGCTTTCCTGTCTTCCCTCACAGGAGCTTTACAGGTTGGGGACACATTGTGGATATTTATGGCCCCCGAACGGCACTGCAGTGTTGTAATTGGCCCCACAATGAGGCTAATGCTCAGAAAGAGGAGCCATGCAGGAGCAGAAAGTGATGCAATGCCCTGGCAGAAGATGGCAGATCCTCTCCTTAATGAATGCTGCTAGAAAACATAATGAATAGACAGAGAGCTTAAAGGCACACACACACATAGTGAGTGTGTATCAGTGAGGCTTTTACCCAACCTGCCACTGTGCTTCATCTCTCCCTCCTCAGTCTACCACTCCACTCTGCCAAAATCAGCCTCTCTCCTTTCTTTATCCCCATCACTCAACACCCTCTCCCTCTCTCGTTTGGATCCCATTCCATTGCAGTGTAATGGGTTTATTAGTGTGGTTAATGCACTGTGACCTACTGGGGCTTGCCGTCTACCTTTTTCATGCGCAAAAAAAAAAAAAGGAAAGGTGGAATGTTTTTAAAAGGGAAGCAGTACAGGAATAAGATATGAAAGGGCAGCAATAAAAAAGGAAAGAAAGACCACTTTAGAAACTAAATCTCAACCAAAGAAGAAGAAGAAAAGATAACCTGGCCAATTTTAGACAGAGGCAAACAGAAGCTGTGAGTGCTGGAATGCCAATGCAGATGTGCACACTCACAGCACAGAGAGATTGTCCTAAACAGCCAGGGCGAGTCCATGCTGATGGCTGCCATGTTTACCCAGACTGGGACAGACAAAGTCAGCTTTGGCACCAACTGTGCTCAGTGCATGG